CCTATCCCCTGTGTGCCTTGCCTCCCACGACTATAAAATGGTGAATGACTCTCTTGATAAAAAATGGATGGTTGGATGATAGGGGAGGATAGAATACTTTACGCGTAATATAAATATCCAATAGGTTTTTAAAAAATATAAAATAATATATAATACAATTTTTTCGAACATGAAATTTGATATATGCCCATCCATTTTTTTATCAAGAGAGCCACTTACTTTTATCCGACGTCTCAAAGTATTTTATTTTTAGCTTTTTTAATACAATTTTTCTGAATATGAAATTTGGTACGTGACCTCTTCTCTTTGCGGTGCACCTATAAAAAAAATTAACAATAATTTTTCGATAAAAATAATGACCAAAATACCCCTTGAAACTTTCAGGGGTATTTTGATCATTTTATTTTGTTGAAAATATTTTTTTATATTTTTCATTAGTGCGAGTTTAATAGAGGAATGGACGTCCAAAATTTGGTGTCAAAATAGTTTATAAAAAAAATTAAAAATAAAATAATGTAGAGACATGATATTGTGATTGGGGCAATCTTAGCCCTCCATTAAAAAATGGATGGTTGGATAAAAGGGAGGATATAACTTCTGTATTGTAGGGGGAACATAGAAAGCTTTCCCTTAATATTAAAAGAGAATAAATAGGACCATCAATTTTGAATTCCTAACTAATTTTTTTCCTTGTAATTTCCTAAAATCTCTCTAATTAATAAATTTCGAATTTTTTATTAGTTTTTACTAAAATTAAATTTAGAATTCAAATAGGATAAATAGGAGCATCAATTTTGATTTCCTGACTAATGTTTTTCTTTGTAATTTCCTAAAATCTCTCGAATTAATAAATTTAGAATTTTTTATTGTTTTTTACTCAAAGTAAATTTAGAATTCCAAGATTGATTTTTTTTATTTTTCAGAATTCCTATATTGATTTTTTTATTTTTTTCTTATTGAACATTAACCATGGAGAAATCCTAGATTGATCTCTCTTCCCATTCTCAATCTCTATCTTATGCACATTAATTATATTTATCCCCATCTCTAATTCTAACTAATCATCACTAACTACTTAGGTTCTCTCTATCACAAGAGTGAAAGGAAATTAGGAATCTCATTTCCTGTATTTTCTAAGATTTTGAATGTCTCTCAAATGGAAAACATTCATAATTTAAATTCTTGTTATAAATTAGAAGTTGTTGAAGAATATTTCATGAATTTAGCTGGTTTATAATGGCATAAATTAGTTAAAAAACTATATGAGAAAAAATTCGCAAGTGGTAATTAAATATATGAAATAATACGATATACTAGAATTCCTTTTCCAAATTCAATCACTCTTTTTAAATTACCATTAATTACGTACAAAAGCGCAGTTTAAATTTAAATTTATTATATAGATATCATAACTATACTAATTACTAATATGGTTACATATTCGTATTGTTTTGTCATGCCATAAATTAGTTAAAATAAAATAAATAGTTATATAATAATCATAAAAAAGGGAAACTTGAAATATCCCATGTTATTTTTGGAACTAAAAAATAATTCTCTGTATTTCATATTTTTCATCAAAGTCCACTATTTGGAAGATTGTGTCAAGTATGGTGGCCCCAAATTTGAGCTTAATTCAACATGTAGAATTCACTATACAGTTTAAAGTAGGGCTTAAGAGGACAACAAATACAAACTATTTTTAAATTCTAGAAATAGCTTAAGACTTTTTGTGAATTTCCCTAAGAAAAATATACAAAAATTAATAGCACATGCCATTAGCTAGTTATGGATTAGGTTAAATTTACAGAACCATAAATTTTGAAATTTTATGACAAGGTCTTTTTTCATTTTTTATTTTTCTTCTAGATTTGCCTCCTGTTTGATATTATAAACATTGAATCTTAATTTTTTTT